GTATATAAGATTCTTTTTATGTAATTGAAACAAATGACATATGCCATTATGTACAGACTTATATTATGACATTATATAAAATTTACATTATATACAATTTGTGTTGTTTTTATATATTTAGTTGAAGCAACAACGGAACATGATTTAGTTTTAAAACATTTTTTAACAAAGCCGGTATACAAAAATTTTGACCGGGTTTTTATCAAAATTTTCATATCAAAACATAAAAAACCAAAAAGAAAAAAACAATAAAAAAAATATTTTTTATAAAAAGGATAATTATTATTGTTTTGGTTTGCTATACTTTTGATTTTTGTTATTTCGATACTAAATGATAACAAGTAAAAAAAAAAGAGGAAAACTAAAGGAAAATGAAAAAAAAAAGTTTTAAAGGGTAAAATGGAATTCATTTTTTCATTTTATTTTCTATCTTGTTATTCATTGTAAATAAAAATTTGTTTGATATAAAAAAAAAAAGGATTTTTCATAAAGTGAATTTTTAAAACGTCATATTTTTTAATAATATTTAAACAATACCTGAGAACTCTGATCTTTTTTTTGAATCTCATAAACAACAATTAATGTAAATAAAAAAAAAACTGAACATTATTAAGTGAATTAAATAATAAAAATAATTTAAGAACTAAGAATTTAATTGTGAATAATTAATTTTGATAGCTTCCCACTTTGTCTTAGTGTTTAATTTTTTTCATCAAATTACTAAAATATTGATTAAAAAAATAGTTATAAACTGGTATTTGCTGAAAAAGCACTGCACTTAATAACAAAACGTTTATTATTGCCATATACGTGTTTATGTACTCTTTTAGTGGATTAGTACCATTTGAAAATGAATTTATATACAGTAATGAAATCAATAATGCATACAAACATAAGTATATAATATGTAAACCGCTATGATACAAACTATTAAATTCAATAGTTTTGTGGTTTGGGTAAAACTCAATATGAAAATACGGTGGCTAAAATTTTTTTTTTTCTATTTTACTTTTGTCGTATCAGCAAAAGTACTTGACTTGCTCAAATTACGATTTCAGAGTAAATTTGAAAATTTATTAAGAATCATGGATGTGTATATGGATGTAAAAGTGTTTCTAAGTACTCTCCCTCTGGTCTGAAGTTTGGTACTTGTAATTTGAACAATAAATAACAGTATTGTTTCTATTGATTGCACTATAGTAGTAATCAAAGAATAAAGTATAAATTTTAGAATAGCGCTATTGTAGTTCTTTATAATTTCATTCATTCAAATGGGTGTTTTGCTTAACCTAAAAGTTTTCTTTATTTCAAAAGTTCTCATTATTTTCAACTGTTGAGGTATATGGGATTATTGAGACAAAGTAATGTTTTTTTTACAATTTTTCAAAGTTGAGGTGTTTACGTAAATAACTTTTTTATAAAATAAAAAATTTACTTAATCAGTATTAAGATTATAAGTAGTAATATTTTTCTTTCAATAACGCGATTTAGAAATTACCCTTTATTTAAATTCTTTGTGATTATGCATTTATTCTCATGTACTCGATTTTTAATACAATAAGCTAAGTAAAATGTACAAATATAGAATAAGCCAATAAAGTTAAGAGAATTTCATGGTCTTAATTCAATTTCGCAGAGTGCATTTTGGTTTGCATTTAAAGTTAATTTAAAATTTCTATAACATTAAAATTCATATTTGAGCAATTTCATTTTTGAGCCGCCCAGCACTTTTAATTCGAATAGTTTTTAAGATAAAAGTATTGCAATAAAAACTAAACAACTATAACTTTAAGTGAAAAATTTTCCTCAAAAATTCATTTGGAAAAATCTTCTTAAGAATGTAGTAGGAAGTAGTATTAGGGGAGACCTTAATTTAATTTCAAATAATTTTTGCTGCGAATTTTGATTAATTAACCCTTAAATAACATTGTCTGAAACCAAGGATCACTTTTGTATCCTAAAATAAAAATGCATTCTTTTTCAAAAAGTAGAATGCATTCTTTTTCGTCGGCAATTTCTTCATACCTCTGTAGCTCAGTTGGTAGAGCGTCCGCCTTGAAAGCGGTGGGTCCTTGATTCGAGTCCAGTTCAGGGAGAAAATTTTTTTAATTTTTCTGCCTTTAACTCGTTCCTTTGATTATGTCATCCATCTGTTCTGCAGTTATATGAAGAAATTTCCATTAAGTTAAAGAATCACACAGTTTTTTTATAGATTTTTTTTTAATTTATATTTTATTAAATGTTTTAAACAAATAAGATTTATTTTTCATTTGTTTTCAACACTAATATTCAATATCTTTGGATGGAAATTCACTGAAATCACAATATTGATTTTTATTTTCAAGTTTTTAAAGTTCTATAAAAAAATAAAAAAATAATTAGCAAAATTTTTGATAAACAGTCAATTTTTTCTTAAATTTTACTAAAAACTAAAATTGGTAAATTTTACTTCGCGATTCTGCGTTCTCAATGAAATTCTTTGTTGCTTAAAACTCGTGATATTTTTTCAAATTTGTGTATCCACACAACTGCTATTTTGCGATTGTTAAGACTCCAGTTAAAATTAATATATTTGTAATTTCAAAAACTTAAAGCCCAAAATTTTAGGTTTTTTGGTATATTCTTCATTATACTCTGATTGAGGTATACAAAAAAAATAAAAATTAAAAGAAATGATTGATTTTAAATGCATACACAATTTTTAAGGAGGTTATTTCTTACTTCCAGGTATCAGTTACGAATTAATAATATCACTAATAAAATAAAAAGCTAAAATTTTTACTTTAAAAATTTCATTAAATTTAATTGTGTAGTTGGATGGCATTTCCATATGTCATAATATACACTTGCGTGTCACTATCATTTTCTATGTAAAACTGCTCGAAATCAATATTTTTGCAATTACGTTTTTAAAGTATGGTTGTAATACACATACTTTAAAAACGTAATATAGATTCATGATACTAGTCATAAAATTTTGACTGACGTCAAAAATCAATATAGTGAAAAGCCACATTCCATACTGCTGTTTACTTGTTATATTTATTTAGCCATAAATAAAAAACATTTTTAAATTACAAAATATATGTATATAGCACGTTCATATATATGAAGTTTATGTGTGTGTATAAGAGATCCTTTTAATGAATAAGTCTATCCAATTATCATGATTTTTACAACAGCATTTGAAGTCGCAAATTTTTAATTTAAACTAAACAATACCTTACATTTTCAACTTTGAGGATTACAAATATTCGCTAACGTGCATGTATAGTAACAACAGTGTCTATCAACTTTTGAGAGAATAAATTTCAATAACATAAAGAGTGTTATCTGGAGCAAAAATGTTTAGTTACAAATCCTGGTTTACCGTTTAGCTTAGATTAAATTTTTAAGTAAATTCATTAATACCTAAATAGGTGCCAATTACAAGTGGAAAATTTAAACAAAAGACTTTATGGATATTAAACATTGAAAGTAGAACTTTATAAACTTAAATTTCCGTTAGAAAAATATTCCATTTCTTAAATAATCGTGTATGTTACCAAAACGTGTAACAGTGTGGTCATACACAGGTTTTAATTTTTCATAATAAATTATGAAAAAAGAAAGAAAAAGCAATTTTTATTGTCGCTTTTAATAAACTGATATTTTTTCGGAACATTTCAGGAAATCGAAAATTGTTATATGTATTACAAATAATGCTTATTGATTTGAAAACTTTTTCCTTGATGCCTAAGGTTAAGGTCATTAGTTACTAAAAATTTTATTGAAGTATTTTCAAAATTATCAATCTAAATACATCATGTTCCCAAATAAATTCAAATAAATTAAAGTAAATTCATATCAGCGCTAGGTTTAATGTTTTTAGAATTGAGTCACGATATTTATTAGTTCATAGCATTAGAATAAAATTAAAATAAACCGCAGCAAATTGATGGCGTAATATGGTTAATTGGGTGATTTAAAATATTTAGCTATACATATAAAAAGTTTTAATAAAGTTAATAGTTTTAAAGAAAAAAATTGCTGAAAATTGAAATTTTTGGCTAATTGTGAAATTCTGGAAATTAGAAGGGAGACGAGGCAGAATTAAACTTTCTTCTAACAAAATAAATTACTCAATATTATCTGGAAGCTGTTAAAATTTTTAATTTCTCATCTTAGAAAAACTGATGTACTAAGTACTAAAATTTTTTTAAACATACTATTGACTGTTTGAGAAGCGCTTCCGATAAAGAAGCACTTCTCCGAAATCTAGAATATATTTTTATGATTTCGACATAATAATTTGTTGAAGATGGTATTTGCTCAATTTATAATCAAAATGCCAGATATGTAAAAATTTATTTCAAATAAAATAAGTTTTTCAATAAGATTTATCTATATGTATAAAATTTTAAGTTTCTACCATGCGAACTCTAGAAGTTTTGTAAACGTATGCCCAGTCGGACAAACTGGGAGGCAAAAGGGCAAGATGAAATTAACAAACACTATTTGTTTCCAATTATGTTAGAAATGGGTGAAAGATATAATTTATATTGCAATCAATTGTATTGTAATTTATTAATTTTCATTGCAGAATTAACAAATTTGGAAAACAAAAATTTCGCCTATAAATATGTTCTATTTTATGCAGATTAGTCAATAAGTTGAAGCTTCACGATTCATTTAATTCAAATTTATGCAGTAATTTTTTTATTGTAGATCAAATGTACTCAAAATAAAAATTTTTTCATTTAAATTAATGGAGCAATTTTACGATTTTTGTTTTAGACAATTCTAAATATAATCTGCATTGCATATAGAGTAACCATAAAATATGCACACTTTTAACATTATTTTTATTTATTTTTTGATTGTTGTTATTTTTTATAGTAGAAATTTACATATGAAAAACATAAAATAAAAATGAAATTCCAATAATTTTTTATGAAAAAATTTTACATTTTAATTAAATGCAATATTGTGATTTTAAATGTAATAAAAATAAATGTATAAAAAATAGTAAATTAATAAAATAAAAAAATTTAATAAAAAAAATTCAAAAATATTTGAACCATGTTTTGGATTTTAAGAAGAACTGGAGCAGTGAATTTTTTCAATTCACTTAATAATAACTGTGCATCAAAGTCTAATTTTAATCACAACAATAACAATGGTAAGTTGAGATATTTTTTTAAAAGTAAAAAAAAATTTTCATTTTAATTTTTCGCGATCATACACTTTTCAAATATATTTCGGTTATTAAAAATTGTTATAAATATGCAATTTGATTAGTACAAAATGAACCGGCAAAAATAAATGAAACTGCGATTTCGACTGAACTACTCCATTAACTTCTTACTTATTAAACATGTTGACTAAATAATTTTCCCACATACTGTTGACTGTTTTAGAAGCCCAGAGCTTAGATTTCAGTTCAATATACAAATAAGTTGAAGTAAAATATAAGAAAATTTTTCCAGTTTCCATTTTTTTCAGCGTCTTCTAATTGACATTTTTTATGAAGTTTTTTAAAGGAAAAATTTTAGAATTTTTTTGCGTTCTCTTAATATTTTTAATTATAAAGCTGCAAAAAATTACTAAATTACCATTTGTAGTTCAGAAAAGAAACGAAAGAAAACGCAATTGCACATCGAATTCTGGCAAGCTTTATTAGCAAGAATAAATTCGAAAGTTTTTCATTATTTTGATTTTTCATGCCATAATTTCCAATTTTTATTGATTTGTAATAAAAATGTATAACGAATTAAGTAATTCTAAGAAAATTTTCATGTTTTCAAGATTTTTATTAAATTTATGGTTAATAATTTTACAACAATGCGTTAAGTTTTTAATTTTTCTCCTCTTCTGCTATAAATAATTTTTTTTTTTAAAATAAGGGCAGAAAAAAGCTGTCCGTAATAAATATATGAATTGACCACTTAAAGGACTCTGGTCTTTTGGGAGCCTTCAGATTCATTATCGACTTGTAGTACACTTTACTTTCATGATAAATTTGTTTTAAATCATATTTCCAAAAATATTGGAAAAAATTACTAGTTTTGCTCCATTAATTTTCATTAGATTCTAGAAGGAAACTTATGGTTACCCAACGTCTTAAGGAAACCTTTTTTTGATAAATTATTGTGTCGAAACCAAAAATATTTTTAAATTAATTGAGTGATGGGAATTTAATGACAACTTGCTTCGTCTACTGCAAAATAGCATTGCCAAACTGTTTTTTTTTGCTCAAATCCGAAATCCCGTACTTTTAAATTCTCACGATAGACACAAGGAATTATCATTTTTTCAAATAATTTTAAATAAATCATTTCAAGTGAAATTTTGTTTTTACTTCTCTTTTTTCCCGAGCTGTTGGTTTTCATTTTTGCTGTACATACAAATACAACACAAATATTCTGATATTTCTTTAAATATAAAAATCTTATGTTTTCGAATTATATAATGCAAAGATTATTAGAACATCTATGTTCTATAATATAGTAAAAAGAATACTCTAATACAATATATACAATAATAAAATTTGATTGAGCTATTAGTTACGTTACAGTTTTTATAACCTTTAAAACTAATTTGAAGTAGCGATTTCAGTGGGTCAATTATGCTCAGTTTCAGTAAATATATGCATCTGTGCCAAATTTCAACTCCGTTCTAGGTTTTTGCGTCGTATACTCTATTGAACTGCAAATGTTTCATTCTTCGTGTTGCATTCAATTTAAACTATAATTTTGCATAACCCTATCTTACTTGTGCGGGGAAAAAATCTTATTTATTCCAAAAGAAAATTTTTAATTCAGTTTGCTTTGAATAGAAAAAAATTTTACTAAATTAAATTTGCTCTTTAAATTCCTTTTTAGCACTTTTCCAAAAAATTTTTGAAAAAAAGTGCTTATTAGTACATTCTAACCGTCTGTTCGACCGTGGACATGTTTACAAAACTTCTGCACCCTTGAAGAAGGAAAGTAAAAATTTAATATGTACATAGATCTTTGTAAGGAACTTATTTCCGCAGAAGAAAAGTGTTACTCATCTCCCCCTCTAGAAGTAATATCACCAAAAATCCTAAAAATGCTATCTTTTAAATATTTATTACAGTGAAACCATAAGCATTTTGCGAATTTTGCAAACGCAGAAAGATAGTGGCTTGCTATACTATATTGCGGCATACTATAGTTAAACTTTAAAAAACCAAATGACCGTTAAAATTTACCGTTATCTAAAATCCGTTTTTTCTAAAATTTTCATTTCGTTTTTCTTCCAGACTCCAACTTATAGGAGCCTGAAATTAATAGTTTATTTTGTTAGAAGAAAATTTTTTTCCATCCTCACCCCCTCTGAAATTATCGCCTATTTAAATTTGTAAAATTTGAATTTTTGACGTGTCATATTTCCGAAACCGCAACCTTTTTCATATTTTTATAAACGCATAAAGCTAACGGTAAATTCCATGACATTAAAAAATATAATACTTTTTCTTAAGTCACACAATTTTGCTTTATTTCAAAGACTGCATGTATGTATCATCCTAAATATATGCAATCCTAGAAATAGTTTCGTATAAGAATGAAAATAATTTTAATAGTGTTGTAGGCACACATAGACTGTATTTAAAAGCAGTATTTTCACTTGTTGAAAAATTAAAATTTTAGAGTGCAAAGGAGTTGAAATAGTTTTATTTTTTTGAGAAATAAGCTACATAAAATAACACAGTTCAAAAACTTGTTAAAGTCAGTTTGGATTATAAGTGTATTGTCAATTCGGTTCATCTTCATATTTAAGTTATATGCATCATCAAATTAGAACTAATTAAAATTAATAGTTGTACTTAATACACCTATTCAACGCAATGAATATTATTATCACTAACAATTTAGTATAATGATTTTAAGTTTTATTTTTTATTTAAAAAAAATTTGTTAAAATTTTCATTTTAATATGATGATAATGAGTATCCTATAATATTCTTGCATAAATACTTATTCCAATTTAAACATACGTGCTCACACATACGATTTACTTCATTATTTCTTATCACAATAATTTATATTTTTGTGAAGAAAAAAAGAAGAAAATTAAAATAAAATTAGATTTTTCATTGTAAATTTCTATTTAAAAAGATAATTTTAATTTACATTCTAAAATTCCGTTCAAATCATTGAATTGTAAAGATATAACGTAATAGAGATTCTGAACATAAGAACGAAGTCTCAGACATAAGAGCAAATATTACTAAAATTTTCATTTTGTAATAAAACGAACATTCTATTACGATTCACTCATATCTACATACATACATATAAATACGTGCTATATTATGTAAAAAGGGATGAATCAAAGAAAAATGTCCTTTTTTTGAAATAAAATTATAAAAGAAAAATAATATACAGCAATATGTTTGCGTGTGTAGTGAAAAATTTGATAAAAATCAAATGAATTTTTTTTTTGTAATATAAAGGTAACTTGTATACTCTCCGATAAAATATTTAATTTAATGGAACTCTCGAAGTGTTATGGATATAGATATAATTATGTACATACATTTGTGTATAAACATACCGAGTACACACAACATTTGTAAACATAGATGTTTGTTGGCGTTGTTATGGATACTTTTTAATGTGATACGAAATTTATTATGTTTGGATCAATTAAATGGTCAAATTTAAGGTCATATCCCTGACTTATATTTTAGTACTCGTATCCTCATTTCAGCGTTTTATTTTGAAAAGTTTTTCTCAGTTAACTCATTACAATTTTATTTCTGTCCTAATAGATAAGGTTAATTTGAACTGAGAGTGAGGCTTTTGTTTTTATATACGAAATATTTTAATATACACCTATCCATATATGCGTATGCGTATTTTTATTGTGGATTCAATAACAGAAATACATAATATGTACAGGTAAGGTAAGTATGCAATATACAAAGAAGTCTCAAAATTGAAAAATTAAGTAAAAATGAACAGAAATTAATAAAACTTTTCTAAATGTAGCTGCTCCGTTCCGTAAGTTCCGTAACAGTTTTATTATGCATTGCTTAAATTATACAAAGTTCATTTTCATTCATAAAATTTATGAAATTTATTTAGACTAAATTAACAAAAAAGAGCAGTTACCTGGTACAATTCAATGCTACCTGGCTACTAATGCGCTGAGCGCCTCGTATGAAAAGTTTGTTCCATTAGTATTACATAAGGAAAACTTATGAAATACTAATGGGTTTTCAAGTTACATCTTATCATTTTGAAATAAAAGTAAATTTGTGACTTCTTTATAATGAATTAAAACTAATTTTAAAATTTAAATAAATTGGAAGATGTGTATATAGAAATAGACCTGCAATAATCTTGTGTACGAATTATTTCCACGCATTTTCACAGCTTAACTTATATATTTTCTTCTGTCATACTCATATAATAATACAAAGCAATGTTATTGTATAATATTATAATAATAACATACGCACGAAAAATTCTATATATTTTAAAATGTTGTCTATTTCACGGCTTTTTATGATATTAATATGATTTATTTGATTAAATGATTTCATAGCCTTGAAATTTGAACAGGTTCATTCAAGTGTTCATTATTAATACATATTTTTATAGAATTTCAAAAATTGAATTTTAATGTTGAAATGAAATCAAATACAAATCCTCTATTTAAGCGAAAATCATTTAATTAAGTTAAAAATCAAATTGAATTTCTTTAGCATTGTTTTCTTATTAAATGGGATAAGAAAAGTAAACAGATAAAAGGAAATAATAATATTTCTTATTATTAAACGCTCAATTGTAAGTTTAAGATATTTAAAAATAAGTCAGTTTTCCAATACCAGTTCCTGCAATTAAATAATTTCGCAAGTCTTCAATTGGCAATTAAGTAATTGCGCAAGTATAGGATTTAAAAATTAAATACATTTATAAATACAAATTGAATCTAATTATGCAAAAATTACTTACAAGGTTACATAATATCTTACTAGAATTTCAAAACTGATGCTATTAATTTGACAGCTCACTATCAAGCATTAAGAAATTAATTTGGCCAAATATTCGAGAAAAAGGGCCGAACTTACGCAAATTCGACCAATGCTTAGGTCTGCCAACTAAATACTTGTTTGTATTCTAATTTAAATTTTTGTTCAAATTTCAA